AATTGCCTTTAGCGCAATCTAACTGGTAAGGAGTGTGGTACAGACTCGAGAAGGTGAGAAAGTGAGAAGGCGGGTGAGCGGGGTGCCCACGGGCAGCAGCCCCAGAAGGATATTGACATGGCCAGTTGGATCCCTCTGAGAAGGGCAGGGTCTAAACCAAAAGCGGGGATCTTTAGCCTACAGCACCAGGGCCCAAAAAGTACACAGAAAATAGTCAACTGCAAAAAGCAGCAGGGTTGCTCTCTCCCAGAGAGACAAGCAGCTGGAGATGCAAAGAGCCTTTTAAAGGGCCAACGCAAAATTTTTATTTGCAGCCACTTACCCTGGTCTCCGGCAAAGGCAGGAGCAGAGTGGGCCAGATACACCTGAGGAGAGACTGGGGAAGGAGGTTTTGGGGAGAGAACTGAGAGAGTAGCCAGCCAGATCTCGGTGTTGACTCATCCCCCATGCAGCAGCAGCCATCTTGCTCAGGCAGAGACCACTCCCCCTGAGTGGCACCAACATCAGAGGACCCAACAGCCCCACCCCCAGGTGGGATTCCACCCTGTGCTGTCTAAGCCGCCTGATGAGTGCAGAGTGGCAGCCACAGACAGAAGATCTCTGGCTATAGGGGGAGCAGAGAGGTCTGGAGACACTGGAGAAGAGACTGGGGATGGAGGCTTTGGGGAAAGAATGGAGAGAGTAGCCAATGGGGTCACAGTACTGACTCCTCCCCCATAGGGCTGCAGTGAGAGAGGACCCACTAATCTTGCCCCCAGGAAGGAATCCGCCCCACCTTGAGCTGTGTAAGGCAGCCTGCTGAGTGCAGAGTGACTAGATTAACAGCTGAAGGAGACAGCCACAAAGAGTAGATTGCTGGAAGTCTCAAACAGACTGCCTAAGGTCAGACAAGGTCAACATCTGACATCATCAGAGGTAGATCCAGAAAGTAAAAACAGCGGTCTCCAACAATAGAAGTTCACACCACAAAGTCAGGAAATCAAGACAGATGAACTTAAGAAGCAGAGGCAAAAGAGAAGAGTCTCACAAATAATGGGAAGACAAAGAAATACCACCCACTCGAAGGGAAAGGAGGAATCTCCAGAAAGAGAACTAAATGAAATAGAGGCAAGTAAACTATCAGATATTGAATTCCAAACAGTGGTTCAAATGAGCCCAGTGAACTCAGAATTACAAAAAAACTACAGGGAAACTATGAGGAACTTACTGCAAACTATATCAGCATGAAAAAGGACATAGAAACTATCAATAAGAGACAAGAGGAAACGAATACAATTTCTGAGTTGAAGAACACAGTAGAAAGAATAAAAAACAGGCTAGATGAAGCTGAAGACCAAATCAGTGAGCTGGAGGATAAGATTGAAAGAAGCTCCCAGAAAGAGCAAGAAAATGAAAAAGGACTCAAAAAGAATGAAAAGGCATATTAGGGAAATGCAGAACAACCTGAAATGTAATAATATCCATATAATAGGGTTACGAGAAGGAGAACAGGATGAGGAAGGGATAGAGGACCTGTTTGAAAAAGTAATGATGGAAAACTTCCCTAACTTGAGGAGAGAAAAAGTCACACAAGTCCAGGAAGCACAGAGGGTCCCATTCAAGAGGAACCCAAAGAAGCCCACTCCAAGACACATCCTCATTAAAATGGCAAGTATCAAAGACAAACAGAGCATCCTAAAGCAAGCAAGGGAGAAAGAAATATTAACATAAAAGGGAGCCCTGATACGACTAGCATCTGACTTTTTAACAGAAACACTACAAGCCAGAAGGGAATGGCAAGAAATATTCCAAGTCATGAAAAGCAAATGTCTGCAACCAAGGCTGCTCTACCTAGCAAGGCTCTCAAAATGGAAGGCGAAATAAAAGAGTTTCCCAGACAGAAGAAACTAAAAGTATACAACTCCACCAAACCAGCACTGCGAAATATGCTAAAGGGACTGCTTTAAGATAATGAAGAAAAAGAGTCTTGAATACCCAGTTCCTTTCACAGTTGCCAATACTTGATATTACCAATATTTTTAATACGTATTAATCTGATTGTGACAATGATATTATTTTAATTATTCCTTTAATATTTGTTGAAACTAAACCTGTTTTTGTATATTTATTGCCTATTTCTATTATTTTTAAAAAGCCTTACATGACTTTTTGGTATTCTTTATCCATTTTTTGATGAAATATTTGTAGAATTTTTTCCCTAAAAAAACCATTAACCCTTTTTTAGATGTGTTGCAAATACTTTCCTATTCTATTACTTGCCCTTTAACCTTTTTTATATGTATATTACTGTACAGTCTTAAATGTCTAGCATAGTCATATTGTCAATATTTTACTTTATAGCTTCTGGGTTTGAGTATTTTACTTCAGGGTAAGAAATATATAATTTTGTATTTTCTCCTAGAACTCCTTAGATTCTACATATTGATTTTTAACTCAGCTGAATATTTCTTGTATAATGTGTGAAATAGAGCTGTATATTTGTTTTATTTCAAGTAATAGTGGTCCATGCACCTTATTTGCTGAATAAGCCTTATTTTACCCATTGACTTGAAATACCAATTTAATCGTATATTACACTGTAAGAGATATATATGTTTGTCTCTAGAATGCTCATTATATTTCATTGATCTACTTGATTATTTCTGTGCTGGTGTCATGTTGGTTTCATTGCTGAGACTTTATAATGGTTTTAAGTTTTTTAATATTTTATAATTAACTTTGACACTTAAAAAATAAATAAAATCAATCTTCATTTAAGAAAGAAAGAAAAAGAAAGAAGGAGAGAGACAGAGAGATGGAATTCCTACTTTTTGCGACAACATGGATGAACTGGAGAATATTAAGCTAAGTGAAATAAGCCAGTTGGTGATAGACAAATACCATATGACCTCACATATAAGTGAACTCTGTTGAACAAAATAAACTAATGAACAAAATAAACCACAGGCACGGAAACATGGAGCAGACTGAAAGTGACCAGAGGGGATGGGAAAGGAGGGCAATGGAGGAAAGAAGGAGAAGGGACTAGATAAAGAACGTGTATGAATGACCCGTGGACATGGACAAGAGTGGAAATTGACTGTGGGGGTTGAGGTTGGGGGCGGGATGGGTGGAGGAGGGGTAAAGGGGGAAAAACAGAGATAACTGTAATAGAATAAACATGATTTATAAATTGAAACAACTATGAAAAATAAAACTTTTTATTGTTAAAAAAAAATAAACCTCTCTGTGCCTCAGCTTCCTCACCTGCAACTGCAGATAATTATAGTACCTCCCTCAGAACACTCAAGTTGGGAAGAAATATAAGTTAATACATGTCAAACATTTATGGTGAAATATTAGATGCATTAATATCTGCAAGTCTTTTAGAAAAATGACTGGCATACAAGAACTATATAAATGTCCTATATGGGATCATTGCCACTGGATAAAAAGGGACCACAGATGCTCTCTGCAAAGCACTAACACTCAGTGCTCTTCAGGTAAAGCAGACCTGGTTCATGTCCTTCTTTATTCCAGTAAAGCACGGGCTCTAGGCTTCCTGAACTCTTGCCTGTGAAGTGGAGGTGGTCCAGCCTTGCTGTCCCTGTCTCAGATCATGGGCACAGGCCAAGGCAGGGATGTCATCCTGGCTGAGCAGCAGCAGCGTCTGGGGAATTTCTACCAACGCTGAACCCAGAACTCCTGAATCGGGAGGCTGTGAATGGCCTGTCTGGAAGCACAGGAGAGGCGAGTCTGGAAGCCCTTCCCGGCCAGTACGCTCCAGCTTCCCTGATTCGTGCTCCTTTCCCATCGGGAATGGGCACTTTCTCCAATTTCATTCAGGTGTCTGCCCCTCTGTCACCTTGGCGATGGGTTCCCCACCCCTCTGACTGAGGTCACTCACTGTCACCCTGTATCCCTCCACTGTCACCCTGTATCCCTCCACTCTGTGGAATTTTCTTACAGCATTCATCCTTCCTGATGTATCACACAGTAATTGTTCATCGTCTGCCTTTCCCCACTTGCCTGCAAGCTCCATGGAAGCAAGTCTCTTCCTGTTCTTTCCTCTGCTTTAGAACAGGAAATAGGACATGGTGGACATTTAGTAAATATCAGTGGGATAGAATTTTGGATCATGGTGGGAAATGTGCATGTCTCTCTGGACAAGGACCTGTAGATTATTTTCCTGGGAACTTTGTAACAACAGTGCTGTTGATACCAGGTGTTCAGGTTGGGGCAATGGGTTGGAGCTTGGGTCTTGTCTACCGGGGGCTTTCAAAAGGAGGTCTGTGCACCTCGGACATCAGAATCTCTGCTAGTTTTACTAAAATTGCAAGTTCTTAGGGCGTATTCCAAACTTACTGGGTCAGAACCTCAGGGTGCCAGGGAGGGCCCAGGAGTCTGCATTTTAACAACCTCCTCAGCTACTGTGAAGCCACAGTGTGAAAGCCTGATCTACGCTGTGGTATGTTCCTAGTGCACACGAATTCCACGGACCTGGACCCATATCAGCTGCCCCACAAATGGGTCATGACAGATACAGACAATGATGGCTCCCTGAAGGTCGTATTTGGGAAACAGAGGTAGTGAAGGCCAGCTGCACCCCCAGCCAGCCTTCTGCCAGCACTTAAACCCGACGGGCAGGCAGGTGGGCAGGCAGGCGGGCAGGCAGGGCTGTGTGCCAGACTCCAGCTTTTGTACCCCTCCCAAATATACCCTTGATGACCAGGTGCATACTGGGCTCACGTCTCACTCCTGGGTTTGGACAGGCTGCATGGGACCCCACAGTGGGTCAGACTTAGTTGGGAAAGATCCCAAACCTGGAGAGTAGAGAGGATTTCAATTCACTCATGTTCCCAGCCTGGCAGCAGATCAACTCTCACAGGAAATTAAACAGCTGGCTAGGGCAGCTGCTTGGTAAGACCAAACCACCCTTGGCACCAGGGAGCTGTTCTGTGACTCGGTCTGGGACCGGCGGCAGCACCCCCAGGGCCGACCATCCACTGGGCTGTACTCACCGGGCATCACACCCTTGATGTCACTCTCGGGGCTCATGCAGTTCTTCTGTGTGAAGTGCAGGATCAGCTTCTTTGCAGACTCAAACTGCTGGGTAGCCATCAGCCACCGGAGGGACTCGGGGAATACCCTTCAAAGACATAAAGAGAATTGGTGAATGCCTTTGATTCTGGGGGCATCAAGGAATTCGGCTTCTGTCCCGGGCAGGTGAGCTTTGCAGGAGGTATCGCCTCAGTTTCTGCCCCAGTGCTGTGGAGGCCCATAAACGTCAGGACTCTTAGTAGCCCAACTAGGGGCAACGAATGATGGGTGCTGGAGTGTTGCTTAATTTTCTTTCAGAAAGTCTAAAAATTGTGATTTTTAAAATGTGGCAGAAAGGAACACTATCCTACCAACTGTGTCAAGAAATCAGTGTACATATGAAATGTTTTTAAAAATAGCCACATATTTGTAAACCATGCCTAAGCAAATCATTGAAGGGCTGCATTCATTATATTTTGTCACAAAAAACAAATGTTAGTAGGGTAATTTTAAGTTAAAAAAAATTGCCCCCAATACTAGCAACCTGACAGTTACTTTCAGTTCTTGAAGATTTGAAGGCTGACTTTCACAGGGCTTACCTACAGAATTCATTTCATCTTGCTAATTGAAAGTCTCATCTCCCTGAGATGACGCTGTAACAAGGCAGTTTTCAAGTTTTGGTAGCAAAAGACTCCGTGTTTTTTTGCTTTTAGGATAAAACCTTGTGAGGAGGGCCAACAGAAAAAAACAAAACAAAACAAAACTAGGGTTTTATTATCCATGTACTTTGTAAGTTTATATTTATGACAATATTTACAAGTCAAAGAGGATAGTGTTCCTGTTTGGAGCAGGGGTCCCCTCACTTTTTCTGTAAAAGTCCAAAAAGTTAGTATTTTAGGTTTTGTAGAGCTGTAAGTTCTCTGCCCTAACTCTTCAACTCTGCCTGGTGTGCAAGCAGCCAGACAACATGCACAGGGATGGGAGTGGCTGTGTTCCTTTAGAATTTCATTATAAAATGGGTGGCACCCCTGATTGGGAGAAGTAAATATTGGAAATAAAAGTTAAGAATGATCTTAGTTGCCTATGCCCACCTAGTGCTTCAGCCATCACTCTGTTTTACTTCAGTTACATAGTATCAGGAGTCATGATTGGCACCAATAAGTTTTCACTGTAGCCGCCCAACACCTGCCCTGCAAACTGAGTAGTGTCTCAGGAGAGGCTGGAAAAAGTTATCAGTGGACAATTTTTATTTGAAAGTCACATCACTAATAATATCTAACAACTGCTCTCTCTTTTACCTGATTGAACAAAAATCAAGTTTCTTCTTGCTTGTGACTGCATTTTGCAGAAACAGCTGGGCAGATTCCCACTGAATTTGGGGGTACATTTGGGATGATCTGATCCGAATGGTAATTCATGCTGGAGACCTGGGGCACTTCCTGAAGGGTGAAAGAGCCACCCTCCTGCACAGCTGCATGGAGGGCTGTGTGCCAGCCCAGCGGAGGCTCTGTCCAAGCCTGAAGGCAGGATCAGAAAGTCTCATGTCTTTCACCTGGAACTCCAATTGCAACGCCACTAAAGCATGTATCACAAATTGTAGGCATTCATTAAAAAAAAAAACCCCCAAAAAACAAAGTTAATGTTTGTTTTATTGGCCTGTAGTTTTTACAAATTAATTTTGAGTACTACAATTCAAGCAAAGAGAAACACTCGGAATATATTATAACAGACATCAATATAGATGTTAATATAGATATTAACACATTTTTATCAGATCTTTTCTGTATCATGAAATAACCTAAGACAAATGCCAACCTCCATATTGTTCAGCTATATTATTTCCATCTTTCTGATCTATTTGGGTTTAGTGTTATATGCTAATTTCTTGACATGGACACACAGATCATTAATTTTAATTCTTCTTTTGGCAGCGCAGAACCTTGCTGGCTACTCCTGCCATGGCCTGTGTGTGGGACCAGGGAGCCACTAGCACCACGGCACGCTGTGCAGTGTGGGTGGCATGTGCGGCCACATTGCGAACGGCTGCCTTCTTCACCAAGACACATTTAGGAGTAGTTCAAATATACTTTGCCACTTTAGGAGAACCTTTTTAAAAGGTCCCTCAGAAAACCAGTGAATATTTTAAGCTGACAGCTCAAAGTTATTCTGCAGGTGGTCTCTGAAGTATAAAATATGGTATACGAAATGTGAACATTTTGAGTCCTTTAAAAATAATTTAAAATAACATATCAAATGTTTATGGAACTAACTCTACAGCATGAAATGAATTTTGAAAGTCAAGACCATAAAAGAATGCAATGCAGGTGAAGAACAGAACAGAGCACAGGAGGCAGCAGGGTGGGACCCGCAGCTCCGCCTCCACCCTCGGGCGAGGTGGGGGGGTGCAGGGCAGGGGGCAGGGTGAGAGGGCGTGATCCCGGGTGCCCCGAGCCACAGGCACCGGGGGAGTAAATAACAAAGGAACATCATCCGCAAGAGGACATCAGGTTTTCATGTCCCCAGCAAGCTGAAGTCCTCTTCTTCGATTTAACCTATAGCTTTCCAACAAGGTGGGGGCTGGGTGGGGAGAAACACAGTGAGGTGCTCACCAGGAATAGTTTTGATCCCTGAATGGGGAGTGGGAGATCCAGGAAAATACAAAGCCATGTGTACTTGTCATAATTTTGTCTTCGAAGTAAAGCCCCGTATGATGGATAAAAGGCAGGTATTTTTGTTATTGAAATCCCACCAGTCCGGGTATTAGATCTCAGCAAGGACGGCCTCGTATCTGGACCCACAAAGCCCTTGTCCTTTAGGAAAAGAGTCTCCTTTTCCCAGGTTTCGAGACCACAGCCAGAGGCCAGAGTCCCACGGGGAAGGCCTCCTGTGCAGTCCAGACGCACTTGGGCTTGCAGGCCTCGGGACGCTGCCCTGCTCCTGGGTGGCCTGTCACCCTTACCACTCATTTTTTTACCTCCAAGTTGTGCCTAAAGACAACAGAGTTTGCATAAATGTGATAAAAATAATAAACATCCTTATGAAAAATGAGAGTGAACAAGTTTCTTCTTACAGAACCTCTGAGAATTGCAAAGCCTATAGAAAAGCTTTCAAGGGGGCACCATTCACAAACGCACAGCGTGATCTTAGGGCTCTAGAAGTGGGTGTGGCCTCTTTTTTAGAGCTCAAACATTCGTTTGCTCATCGAATTATTGTTTTTTTTTTTCCTAATTTGTACTGAGCATTATCATTACAAATACATCCCTGATCTCAAGGAACATAAGACAGCTGTAGAAGGTGATCTCTGTGAATAAAAGTAATCTTCCTCTCCTTCACCTCAAGTGATTCGGATAGAAGTCCACAGAGAATGGGACATAATGGGGCCAAAAGAAGAGAGTGGGCGGTCCTGGGGTGGGTGGAATAGGGGGGCCAGGGAAGCCTCTGAGGAGGTGATACATGCTTGGGCTGTGTGGGGAATGAGCAGATGCTGGTCACACATAGCATGCCGCAGGGTGTGTGTGAAAAGAGGGCCCCGAGAAGAGGCAGAGGCCCATGAAATGGCATGTTATGCTTGCGGAGCTGCAAGCTGGTAAAACCAGATGCTATTCATGAGAGGAGACGAGGAGGGAGAGACAGGGCCCTGGCAGCCGAGGATGCTGTACAGTATGGAGTCTAATGAGCAGCAGCCGTCTGACTGGAATGAACTGAAGTGGAGAAGCAGGGCTCTCCTAGGAGATCTGGGCACAAGATAATGGGTGATTCCCATTAGCCACACATCCCCATCTCCAGTGGCAGACTGCACTGCAAGCTCTCTTCCCACAACTGGATTTACAATCATCAGGCACTCTTCTACATGTCTCCCGTGGGTTAGACTCTCTCAAGCTTTTTATAGGGTAGTAATATTCTCCCCATTTCAGAGATGGGAAAACTCAGCCACGGAAAGTTTAAGGCCACAGTCCAGATTCCAAGGCTGTTAAATGGCAGAGCTGGATTTGAACCCAGGCAGTCTGACTCAGGAGGCCACGTCCTTCCCTTCAGTGGACATAGAAACAAATCTCACATGCCTACATGGTACTCAGATGACTGAAGTTTGGGAGGTACTGTTGAACGATGCTTCCTTATGTGTCCCAGAATGCCAGAAGCTCAAAGCATATGTATGGAATGTTGAAGTTTTCATGATGCTCCACCCCTGTGTATTTAAATTTGCTACAAAGTCATAAAGAACTAATTGAACTGTTAGCCTATGAGAGAGCCCAGAGGTGACTATTTTAGTTTTGACAATGTGCAGTGTGGCCACGTTATGAAAATTCAATGAAATCCCTCCTGACAAGTAATAACAGCATGCAAATGAAAAATCCAGCCAATGGCCCAGGATGTGAGAGGAACAGAGCTGAACCTCAGAAAAACTGATCATTTTCAACACAAATAAAAGAGCATGGTAGGCAGCTGAAGGCCATACCTGCCTGGTGCATGCTCACATGTGGATGGTGAGAAAGTGGCCCTGAGGATGACTTCTGCAATGACAAAAGGATAAGAAGGTGTAAGAGCTATAGTGGCTTCTCTGGGAGATAGCTTTGTAGGGGCTGCTAGAAGCAGCTGTGGTGATGGAAAAAGGAAGTAGTCCAGGAATCAAATGGTCGAAAAGGCAGTTTCAAAAGCTGGAAGTATTTAATTTTTTCATGCTCATTATGCAGTAGTATTATTATTATGCCTCTTTTACAGATGGGAAAACTGCAAAGAAAGTCCAAGTTCATTGCCCAGATAACATAGCTAATGAAGTGGCAGAGCTGGATTTGAATGTAGACAGCCTGAGTTGAGATTTGCAGGCTGTGATTGCTCTAAGCTGTTGGTTCAATGAATCCCAAGGCTTCTGTGAAGAGGATGTAGGCAAAACTAAAAGCCTCTACTTGTCCTGCTTAATCTGAAAGCCCTTCAAGAAGTGAGTGTCAGAATAAGGGCAGAAGCCTCATCTCTTCTGCTGATGGCCCTCTTGCCCCAAGGCCAATCACAGGTCAATCTGGAGGCCTTCTCAGGAACACGCTCAGGATGGTAGGAAGGTCCAGGGTCCCTAGGCACAATTCCAGAATCCAAAAGCTTCCGAAATACAAAATC